TGAAGCGAGTGCTCTAACCGCCATGCTCCGGGACTCCACATTAGTGTTTGTACTAATTCAATGAATTAAAATATATTTGCAATTTAGCTATAAATAATGTTTTAGATAGAAACTTGCAAGATGAAAGTGAACCTATATTATTCAAGATCAAGACCAGAGAGTTATACGAGATTCAGATGAAGAAGGCCCTCAGCACATTTGATCTAGTACTCTCGGATTCATCTCTTTTCGAGGCTGAAGAGCCTTAGTTTGCAAGTTTCATAGTTTAGCCTCTAACCCTGGGGAGGGACTTATTTGTCTTCTGTGCGCTGCCTCTAGGGCCGAGGCAGACCCTTCTGTCATGGCAATTCAAATTCTATGCACTATTTCCGGTGCAGATTGACCAGATTTCCTCACAGCTTGAATGCCACTTCTGCTGATTTGAACTCGGCAGATTTGTAACCCATCATCCTGTTCACTTTGTTTCTTGCTGTCACGCACTGTTCTATATTTATGACGCAATATTTGGATGAATGCAGGTCCAACTTTGCCCAAAGCAGAAATAATATCTCCCAAAGTAGACAGTATGAGCTGTGTTCTTTGGCTACCATACAGAGCGTTGGAATTAACAGAAAGTAATTTCGTCCACGCTATAAATTGATATTTTTGTGAAGTCAAGGAGTTTAATTAACTTGTGTTCTATGGACATTGATCATTTGTGGCAAATTGAATTTCCTCACAGTACCAGGCCCCCACTATATTTTCCCATGGCTTCCACAGAGTTGAGGTAAAGGCACTCAATGGAAATAAGGTCCACAGAAGTTTAATATTTAAGTAAGTCTTACACAATTTTCAAAACTCATTTGTTAAACAAAACTATAACTTTCCTCAGAATCTCCTTTTCACAACTGATAGATGATAAAAAAGAACAATATTTAGGAACTAAGCAGTTCCCACCTTGCCTATCAGCCTGGCTCTGTTGGTAGCACTCTCACCTCTCAGAAGGTTTTGGGTTCAAGTCCTAAGTTAGAACAGTCTAGGCTGACATTCAAATACAGTGCTGGGGGAGAGCCTACAGCACAATTTGAACGATTAATGTAATAATTTTCTTATGCACATTACTGGCACATTAATGGCAGCCATATTAGGTGAAAATCATCATACAAAGGGCAAGGAAACGTTTGTGACATAAACTTCACTTCTGGGCAAGAAGGTTGTGGGTTTAATTTCCATATTGGGGTTTTGAGCTCACTCCAGGCTGGCCTCCAGTGCAGTGATGGGGGATTGATGGAGAAATCATGTTTAAAGCAATGTCTGTCTGCCTGTTCAACTGGATGTTAACGATCCAATTTGAAAGATGTAATTTGAAAAGAGAAAGGAGTTTCTTCTGGTATCCTGGCCAGCAATATTTGATCGTTCACTTCATGACAGCTGGCAGCTGCTTGCACAAATTGGTATCAAAAGCAGCCACTACACTTAACAGTACTTGTGGAGTCCTGCAGCTCAGTGGTTAGAGCACTCGCCTCGCAAGCGAAAGACTTGGGTTTGATTCCCGGCAGGGCGAAACCTTGGGCAAGTTTCCTTACTCCACACGCCTGATAATAATCCCTCAAGAAAAAAAAAATTGGTCACTTCAATCCACGACTGTTTGTGGGACACTGCTGTGCGCAATTGGCTGCCGCGTTTCGCCCACAAAATATTACAGTCAATTCACTTTACAGTATATTCTGTGAAGCACTTTGAGATGTCTAGAAGACGTGAAAAGCGCTATATCAAATACAAGGATTATTATTTTTACTTTTATTGTGAATGAAGAGTTTTAAGACATTTAGATGTGATAAAACACTGTTCAAATACAAGTCCTTTCTTCTTAGCAGCACTCTAGCCGTATTATATAACTGATTGGTATCATGAGGTTTCTCTGAATCCGCTCTGAAATATAATTGTATAACAGCATAAATAAGCAATCATGTCCTGCGAAGATGGTCATCTTAAAGGCTTCCTCCCATCTCTATCAGTGTGATTCATAAATTGAGCAGCCTTGGTGCACAGGACAGAGTCAAGAGAACACACAATAGTTTCAACATCCAAGTTAAGTTTTGTATGCTATTGGAACGTTTTCATTTTGCAACTCTGTACAAGATTTTTAAACATAAATTGACAAGATATAATGGAAATACTAAGCACAATATTAACATTTAATATAATTAGATTATGTCCACTCACAATGCACAGCCAATTGACTCTGGTCCACTTGAAGCCATTTATCTTAAGCACAACAGACTTGAGAGGCTGAATGGCCTCTTCCAGTTCCTATATTTCTAACATTGACTCCCCTTTCCTGGCAACAATGCACCCCACCCTCCCCCTCCCAAAAGAAATGTGGTCAGTTACATCATGGCTGTTTGTGGGAGGTTGCTGTACACAAATGGGCTGTCAGGTTTTCCCAGAAAATACAAAGTCACTGCAGTTTTACAGTAAATCCTGTCCTGTGGACAGCCTCCCAATGTGAAAGGGGCTGTGCCACATGTAAGAATTACTGTTAGTATTATATTCTATCACGCCTCCCTACCAAACCCCAGCAATGAACAAGCAATAAAAGTTGAATATTTAATAAGCAGAATTTTTCTTAAGGTCCTGGAATTCAACAATAATAATCAATAAATAATCCTTGCGTTAGTTATGGTGCCTTTCATGTGAACAGGATGTCTCACAAAGGATTCACAGGATTTACTGTAAAGTGTAGTGACTGTGTATTTGTAGGCAAACATGGCAGCCAATTTGCACACAGCAATGTCCCATAAACAGCCATGTATAGGAGCCCTGTAACTCAGTGGTTAGAGCACTCGCCTCACAAGTGGTTAGAGCACTTGCCTCGCAAGCAGGAGACCTGGGTTTGATTCCCGGCAAGGCGAAACCTTGGGCAAGTTTCCTTAATCCACACACCTGATAATAATCCCTCAAGAAAAGAAAACAATGATAAAATTGATCACTTCAATCCACAACTGTTTGTGGACACTGCTGTGCGCAATTGGCTGCCGCGTTCGCCCACAAATATACAGTCAATTCACTTTACAGTCTATTCTGTGAAGCGCTTTGGGATGTCCTCCCGACGTGAAAAGCGCTATATCAAATGCAAGGATTATTATTATTATTATCTTGTGGACATGAAAAGCGCTATATCAAATGCAAGGTTTTTTTATGATTTGGGGAGAGTGTTGGTGAATAATGAGGGCGCTATATAAGTGCAAGTATAAAGTATATATATATATACACACACACACAGTATATTTATTAATACATGATTCCTTATTAGAACCCCACAGACAAAGTTAAAATGGCATTTAAAATATTTATCCTGGAAACAATTTTATTTCCACTAGATTTTACTTCCTCACTTTCTCCTCACAGTGCTGTCATAAAACCTGAACTCTTTTTTTCAGCAGTGCACATTACTTACTTCTGCTGCATGAGTGGCTTGTCAAAGTGAATCTGACAGAGTGTGATGGGCACTACTATGAACTAGCTGCAAGCAATATATAGCACGTTTGCTGCAGAGAATGACATTGATCTCTCTCTCGCTCGCTGTTGCTCACTCGTTTACTGGCTGTTGCTCGCTCACGTTCTTTAGCAGGTACACATATTCAATTATTCTTTTGCTTACAGTCTAGCCTCATTGCCCTGTGCATATTGCCATACAAATTAAAATAATGTGGAGCATTTTTATAGAAGCAGAAAATAATTCAATCATCAAACTGTTTGCATAGCACTGCGTATGTAGCTACCCTCTTCTCTAACTAATTTGCCAAATTAATTGTTTATCTTTACAGTACTGTGAAGGGACAATGTTCTACTTAGCTAACTGGAAGCACTCACATCTTTCTTGTATATTAGCAAACAACAAGATTATTTTTTATCACAATATTTTTATTGATGCATTTAAAATGGGGGTGGGGTGGGGAGCCTGTGCACTGGGAGAGTGCATGAATGTTGCCATGCGAGGGACGAAGGAACCAGGTTGGAGAACAGATGAGCTTGAGTTTGATTACCAATCGAGATGAGAGTGGAATTTTTCCCCAAAGCAAGAATCATGGGGTGGAAGTCTATTGCTTTGTGTTCAAGAAGCAGGCTTAATGCACCAAGTGGTCTTTTCTCCCGTCATGCTTCATTAAGTTATGTTACTTAAACCATAGGCATGGAATTTTTCCCCATTCGTCGCAAATCCCCAAGGAACTTGCAGTTTTAGAGAGAAACAATAGCCCTTTGACTGAGACAGGCTACAATGATGTCATGTATAAAATCTAACAGAACAATTCCCTTAAAGTCACTCCTCTCTTAATGCACTGTACAGACTGATAATAACAAAGCACAGTCATTGATCTGCACTCACATTACAGTTCATGGTCTGCATTATTCCATACCTTGTTTATACATGTTGTAGTTACAAAAAGTCTTGTATTCTATACAATAAAATTTACATTTATACCATGCCTTTCACATCAAAGTGAGGTCTGTCTGTCTAGCTGGGAACCTGAGTGGGAAACGCAAGGGAGGTTGGGGGTGGGGGGTGGGGAGGGAGAAGCTGACCAAAAGCTCAGACAAAGAGATAAGCCTTGAGACATGTTATGAAAGTGGGGAGGGAGGAAGGGGAGAGAGGTAGAGGGACTCTGGGATTAAGTTCCAGAGAAAAGGGATAGAATGTCTGAAAGTCTCCTAAACAACAACTTGCATTTATATACCCCCCCTCAAGCAGGGTAGCGTCCCAGAGCGCTTTCACATCAGCAGGACATGTGAAGCTCTCCTAAAGATAGTAGGGCAGGGGACACGAGGCAGGCCAATGTTCACTGAGCAAAATTTCTCAAGTGAAAAGCCACTGAGAAAAAATATTGTTTCCCCTGAAAAGCAGAATACAACAAGATACAACAACAAGATTACATTTGTATAGAGCCTTTCACACAAACAATAAATGGAAAAATCTAACAAAAAGTGAAAGACGGACACAAGCAGCTGCAAACACTTACCACTGGAGCAGTTGAGCCCTCCCCAGCCAGGCTCGCACTGACAGGTGTTGGGAGCAATGCAACGTCCATGAACGCACTTATCAGCACAGTGAGCTGTGGTGGGCAAAGTGATGAAAGAAAAAACAGAGAAAGTTAAAGTTAATAACTTGCCACAACAGCTGCTGTGATGTCAGCTAAAAAACAGCACAAAACCAACTACTGTTCATCAGAGCACGGCACACTTTCTACATTCCCCTGGAACCTATTCCTGTTTTAGCATAAAGATTTCAACTGAACAAGTTTAGATCGCTACCACATGTGATAAAGCACTCCGAGACATCACCCTGCATGAAGGTTCTATAAGGATTACCAGTAGTGGTAATTATCATTTTGAAAGTGAAACCCCCTCCCAGCCCCCTACCCGACTTCATAAGACTGTTTCACACCAGACCAAGGGAAGGTTCAACATGGGCATCAAATCTAAGACAGCTGAATTATCAATTCTACTCCCACACCCAGTAGAATGATCCTTGCTCACAAGGGAAAAAATGTCACTTGGTTCGAATCTCCAGCGTAGCTACGTGAAACCATTCTCCCAAAGGTAGGGAGGATCACTTCCAAAACTGTTGTTAGGGACACATTTTAATCACATTTAAACACAGAAAATATTCATCACTGGTGATTAATCATCAAATCACAACCACTGTTCTCATTAGTAAGTGCTTTCAGAAGTCCTGATGTGCAAACGCTGCATTAATGTGCAGGAGAAGGTGCAGAATAAACTAACTTCTTGCAGTTTCTGCTAGAATAGTAATTCTACCAATTTACTTGCTGAGTTTAATGTGCATCCTCGCTAAATCAAACTGCAATGCTCATTACCAAAAGTGTTTGACAGGGCCATCATCTATGAAAGCTATATTCTATTGTTTATAGTGCAGTTAGAGGTGGATTTCTGTAACATTTATAATTGATTACCCATCAACAGCAGTATATTTGCATTTCACAGCAGTGGCCACAAATACATCTTACATTTGAAATATTTGGACTGAGGATTTTTTATTGTGATCTGTCATTCTGAAAATGCAAAGTAATTAAGATTTAATTCCTTTTTTTTTCCACACTAATAATTGAAGCTTCCTTATTGCACAAATCAAATTCAATTTTGAAGTTAATGAATCTGCCTTATTTAAACTTTTTTCCATACAAGTTTATGAGGTAGCTCACGTGTGATCAATATGGGAACTTCAAATTCAGTCTAGGCTGACATTCCAGTGCAATGTTGGGGGTGCACTGTATTGTCGAAGGTGCCATCCTTTGGATGAGATGCTAACCCAAGCAATGATACAGTCTGCCTGTTCAGGTGGATGTTAAAGATCTTATGACACTATTCAAAAACAGAAGAGAATTTCTCCTGGTATTCTGGCCAACAATCCCATAAATAAAATTAGTCTTTCACTTCATAGCTGTTTATGGGACATTGCTGCACACAAATTCGCCTACAAAATACACAGTCACTACACTTTATAGCATATCATATGAAACACTTTGAGATATTAACAACGTGATAAGGTGCTATATCAAATTCAAACATTATTATTATATCATTATCTTATATATATTCATCTGTACAACACGTATGTTGATACAGTCTGTGATTCTAGGTGTTAACTTCCCTTCTAATCACAGAACATTCATATCTAAACAACAACAATTTACATTTATGTAATGTCTTAACTTGAGAACGTGTTTAAATCAGGGTAATGTGCTGCTACTGAGAGATGAACAACATGTTCCATATGGGAAGGAGAGAAAATTGGAAATTGGATCACTTCTCAGGGATCGCTTACAGACTGGTAAGACATTGTTGATGATAGAGCAGCCAGCCTGGCTTGTCGGCAGGGCTTGGAGGAGCAGAGCCGTCAGTGGGGGCAGGGATTTTTCCCACTTGGTTCCTGCTCCTTACCTCCTGGAGTCCCTCCACCTTGCCCCTACTTCTCACCTTCAAAACTGAGCCAGGCGGATCCGCAATATTCCAGGCACTGCTGATGACAGCACAGACAGTCTGGCTCATCGCCAGTTCTTGGAAGGGCAGACCAGTAACTGAGGGGCAGAGAATCATCCCACTTAGCTCCTGTTAATTCTGCAAACCAAGCCCTAATGGGTAGGGTGTTTCTAGCTGGACAAGCAGTGGGAAAGCTTGACAGACAGCGATATCAATGACAAGCTATGCGGTTTTAGCTGGTTACATTCCTTAAGTAAAACAGCACACTCTGGGGTCCCCAAGCATTGCCAACCTGCGTCTAATACTTTCTAGAATTAGGTAAGCAGGATGTGTCCCTCCAGGGAGAGAGTGCGCATTCCATTACAACAATCCTGTGTGGAGTCCTATAGCTCAGTGGTTAGAGCACTCGCTTTGCAAGTGAGAGACCTGAGTTCAATTCCAGGCAGAGGGCGAAACCTTGGGCAAGTTTCCTTACTCCACACAGAGCCTAATAATAATCCCTCCAAAACCAAAAACAATAATAAATTGGTCATTTTCAATCTACGACTGTTTGTGGGACATTGCTGTGCGCAATTGGCTGCCGCGATCGCCCACAAATTAACAGTCAATTCACTTTACAGTGTGTTCTATGAAGCGCTTTGGACGTCCTCCCGACGTGAAAAGCGCTATATCAAATGCAGGATTATTATTATTAATCTATCTCTCTGTTTTCCATGTGTAGATGCGATGCATGGAATTCTTAGCTTGGTTTAGAAACTCTTAAGCATGGGGATGAGTTTCCGCATGTGTCAGACACTCATTTTAAAAGCACCTTCAAAACCTATCTTAATATCTATTTCTTTGTTGTTGGCCATATTTCCGTCATCCTCCTCAGCTCCCCTGACCACCATCATAGTCAGTTGTTTGAAGTACTTTGTAGGAGAATCAGTGACTATGGTTCATTGTTACAAGACAGTCACAGAAGAATGAAAGGAGAGTTTGACAAATTTGTTTTCACTCAGAGGGTTGTTGGGACGCGGAATGCCCTGCCAAGTACAGCAGAGTCCATGGGTTTCATGAGGGAAAGAGACAGGTTTATGAATAATAGAGGAATGAAGGGATATGGGGATAGGGCCAGGTACTAGGATTGAATAACCATCTTGTTCGGAGAAACAATGTTGAATTGATGGGCCAAATGGCTGCTGTAAATTTCTATCATTCTTCTGATGTGAAAGGTGTTATGTAGCTAAATGTTTGATGCTGTTGTCAACCCTGCAACCCACAGCCCTAAAGGGTAAGGTAGTCCTAGCTGGATAAGCAATCAGCATTCATAATGGTAACTGAGGAATTGTGGCTAGATAGACTCCAGCAGTACTCCATTGCACATTCTGGAATCTCATAGCCTCGTATCCAATACTTTCTTGAGTTTAGATTAATAATAATCCTTACATTTGATATAGTGCTCTTCATGTCTTCGAGACGTCACAAAGAGCTTCACAGAATATACTGTAAAGTGAATTGATTGTATATTTGTGGGCGAAACACAGCAGCCAATTGCGCACAACAGTGTCCCACAAGCAGTCGTGGATTGAGTGACCAATTTATTTATTTATATATTTATTTATATATTGGAGGGATTATTACCACCAGAAAAGCAAACCGCCAATCGACTAACAACTAGGTTCCTACTTACTGCTAGGTAAACCGAGGCATGTGGAGTAAGGAAACTTACACAACATTTCCCCCTGCCAGGAATAGAACCCAAGTCTCCCGCTTGAGAGGCGAGTGCTCTAACCACTGAGCTACAGGACGCCACAAATTAGCAGGCTATGTGCCTCCAAGGAGAGAGTGCACACTCTGTTCCTGACAAACTGAAATTTCCAAGCATAAGTAAAACTCTCAGGTTGGTCAGAGTGGTCTCTTAAAATGGGTTTCTGTGTGTGTCAGATACCTCGCTGATCAAACAGAAATAACTGGCAATGAGAAAAGCCATGGCAAAAGAAATGATACACAGTGGAATGAGCATTTATTTCATTACACATTTTTCTATTATAAATGGGTAACTAAAAGATTACTGGTGCTTGAATTCTGTATTTGATACAGCCAACTGGGGAAAGGGAAGATAAGGAAGAGAAAGAAAATCAATGTTAAAACAGAAAGGTAATATAAGAGCGGTGACATTCTACCAGAATCTAGATTCACGGTAATGAAGTAGCATTTTAGAGTGTCCAGAATTTGTCAAATTCATTTAAAAAAACTTAATTTTGAAGACATTTTTTCTATTAAGCTCTTTAAGAACTGCAGAAAGCAAGTTTCAAAGTTAAGAGTGAATTTGACAATTTGCCAAATTCTGGACGACCTAAAATGCCACTTTAATTGAGTAAATCTAGAACTAGGAAGAATTTTAACCCAATAATTTTATATACCTTTAATTAAATGCCTGCAGTGTAAAAAAAAGGTTGATCACAGTGAGCAAAACACGACACAAAAGTTTATATTAGGCAATAATAGATTTTAAACTTTAGCAAAAATGCCACTTGGGACATTGACGTAATCCTGGGTTTAATTTCTGATGCACTCTGTTTTGCCTCCTCCCCACCTCCATTATTGGAACATGCAATCTCTTTTTGTTCTCTGGATGTGGAAGTCTACCGTGGGGCTACAGTGCAATCATTGCACATTGTGAGCACACGGAGTGACTTCAGTACAGACCGCATGTGGCACACAATATTAATAAGATACAGTTTGCATTTCATTTTCATAAATCCACTAAGCAGTTTTTCAAACAGGTTTCCTTTTACACATTAAAAAAAAGCATTCAGGTTGTCATAACAAAAGTTTGTTTCCAGTTCACAGAACTTATGTGGCATTGCGTCTCAAATCTTAGAATCCTTCAAATTATTCCATTACACTATACAAAGCAGCACTCTTTGAAGTGAAAGTTATACATCTTCAGTTTCAGAAGGATAGTAAGTGATTTAATTGGTTAGGTGCCAGCATGAAAGGCACAACGTTAAACTTCAAGCACAAAACCTTAAGAAGATGCTGACTATTTATGGGAACATTTTAGAATGTAGTTTACTCTCACTACAAAGTAGTGAAGGTCAAGAGTTATTTTCTTTCATTCAAAAAT